AGTCTGCCCTCCGGAAGTCCAAGGTGGCAGTTCTGCTGACACCCCTCCTTACTTCTCTGAGAATAGAAAACTCTGTCATTTTGTGATTGCTATGCCCAAGACGGTCTCCAACCGTCACATCACCCACAAGTCCTTCTCTGTTCACAAACAACAGGTCCAGCGCGGCACCTTCCCTAGTTGGCTCCCTCACCAGCTCTGTCAGGAGGTTATCTTCCACACACTCCAGGAACCTCCTGGACTGTTTCCTCTTTGCTGTATTGTATTTTCAGCAGACGTCTGGTAAGTTGAAGTCCCCCATGAGAACAAGGGCTAGCAATTGTGAGACTTCTCCCAGCTGCTTACAGAATATTTTGTCTGCCTCTTCATCCTGGTTGGGTGGTCTGTAACAGCCTCCTACCTTCCCCGATTCTTACCCATAAACACTCAACCCTATCGTCACCATCATTAAGCTCTAGACAATCAAAACACTCCCTAACGTACAGGGCTACTCCACCGCTTCTCCTTCCTTGCCTATCCCTTCTGAAGAGTTTATAGCCATCCATTGCAGTGCTCCCGTTGTGCGAGTCATCCCACCATGTTTCCGTGATGGCAACTATATCATAATTTTCCTGCTGCACAATGGCTTCCAGCTCCTCCTGTTTGTTGCCCATGCTGCGTGCATTGGTGTAGATGCACTTCAGTGGGCTACTGATCCTGCCACCTTTCTGGGGAGAGAAACCCCCTTTGATCTTTGCTTAACGTCCTTACAAGGATACCACATTAGATGAACCACTATTAACCTCAGCTTTGAAGTTACCTCTGCTACATTTTCCCCTGTAGATATATCTCATACAATATGAAAACCTCCTGGTGTCACAAATGCAAAGTACTGGATGTGAGAGAGGCTGAAAGATACAACAGAAGGCAGTGAGACGCTCAGCATTAAATATGGAGTAAGAAAGAGGGGCTTCTGAAACAAAGGACACTGAGGGGATAATGGATTAAGCAAACCTGCCTCAGAAGCATCTCAAATGGTGAGTACATGCAATTTCAGCTGTCAGGTCATTAACTGGATGAACATACAGTTGATAAGCTGTAGGTTGCACTCTACTTGAGAGCAATAAGTTCCTTTAAATGATATTAATATTTAACATATATAAAAGCATTTGTCATTTGCAAAGCACTCTATAGAGTAACTGATGGATTCTGTAATGATCCCCAACTCCCAGACCAGGGAATGCAATTCTGGAGGGATAAATATCTGGCCCATGTCCAAATCAAGATTCACTGACAGAGCTATTATTCTAGCTCAAAATTAGGTTTCTAAGTTTCTGGTCCTTCTAGATTACATTGCTTTGTAGCCTTCAGTGGGTAGAAGCATGACACACAGACAGACAGAGCTGGAAGACAGGAGCTGACAACATGGGATGACATTTCTGACTCACATCCACTGATTGTCACATCGCTACCCCGGGCCACTGTCCACACCGAAAGACGCAGTTAAGGGAGTTAAACGCAAGGAATGGAAATATTAAATATTTGGTTGCCATGTGTTGTTCACCCCTCTCCCCTTTCTTTTAAGGAATTAATCTTGGGGAATTTACTGACCTCGATAATTTGTTAGGTCTTTCAGTATACTTTTTTTATATACATATATATTTTTTCCCAGTTTAATGGGATATAGTAAGTTTACTTGTAGGTGATCCTTAAAATATGATAGCATTTTTCTGAAATGTGATAGATTATTTCTCATGCTGCAGCACTGAGTTTCTGTGAAACAGCCACAGAACTTTGTGATTATGCAAAATTACTGTAGAAGAACTTCACCTTCAGCCTCCTACATGGTTTCCTGAGATATCTCCTGAGACAGACCCTCAGTCTTCCTGCCCTACTAACTCCCTTTGTATATACTTTTTCTCCCCAGGAGAAAAAGCACAGTGGAAGCCACATCATTTCTATTGGCTGGACACAGCATCCTTTTGCTGTAGCTGAACTTCACACACATGGAAAGTGGACTCCCCTGGGGACCTATCAGGTGTTCCCACGGGACAGAGTGGGCTGTGCCAGAGAGGTACCTGCAGTCGCATCCTCAATACACACAGTATGCTGACAATACCACCTAGGAAGGATGCAAGGTCTGGATCGTCCATTTAAGGTATGTAAATGCATGTGTCACTCCAGTTGCACTTGTTCCCTGAAATATTTGTGCCTTCTAAACTGCTCCCTGAAATATTTGCGCCCCCTAATTAACTTCTGATTCAATGCACCCAATGGTCTGCTCATCATCATAGCTCTGCCATTTGAGGATTCATCCTTTTAGGAGCTCTATTCTCATCAATATTACATTCTGCCTAGGAAGTCTAACCATCTTAGAAGCAAATAAAGTGATTATTGATGACAGTCAATACAACTTCAAAATATTTCGGCAGTGTAAGTAGAAAAAATGCATACAAAATTTATATTGGACTTTATTCAAGAGCTATTCAGAACTTGCACAAAAGAGAAATCTGACAAGCAATAAAACATGATGGCTTCTATAAGCTAGCATTTTGACACTTCAACTCCAACAGAGTCCAAATTTAGCAAAAAAGTGAAACTTCCTAAAAGAAAGTATTATTCACAGCATTTTTTTGCACAAGTGGAAGTCTAACATATCTCTCCTTCTGCTCCATCTTATATTCTCATACAGATCAGCCTGCTAGACAAGATTTCCATAGAAATCCTATTTGTTAAAATTTGCTTGATTCTATTCCAAAAAGTGACTCACATTTTATAACCAAGTGGCAAAAGCTGAAATGAGTTTGACTCTTTCAATCAAAGCCAGTATGAGTCATTCTTCCAGCTTAATGGTTCGCACGCTATTCTTGACAGACAAAACTGGGACCACAGGTCAAGAAATGACAATTTAATAGTCACAAAGTATGTGGCCAGATAGCTATTGCTAGTCTGAAGGAAACAACACAGGACTTGGCCAGTGAAACTAAAAGATACTCGACAGCATGATCGCTAAGTTGCTGTAAGAGTAATAAAATCACGGCTCCTGTGTCAGCATAGAAAAATTTGGCCTAAACTGTAAAGCCGTGGTTAAATAAAAATCATAAAGTTCTTCCTCACCTGCCACTGTCCAAAACGCTTACAGCAAGAGTGGCTGGAAGATGCAAGGGCTGAGTGCAATCTGATTGTAAAGACATCAGGATTTGGCTCCCAGTCAGATACTGCTTTCCTCTGCCCTCTCTCCTTCTTTGTCTTCCTTCAGGTTCCCCTTTCAAGCCCGCAGACTATCCCGTCTCTACCTTTATACTCTTCTGTCCTCCCCAGGTGTCTCTTCTTCCCCGCCGCACCCTGTGGTTGCCCAAAGGAGGGCTGGCTTTGCTGAGCCCTCCAACACACATCCTTCCCCTCCCAGCCTCTCCTTGTGGCCTCTTGACCTAAAGCAGGCTCAGGACAGGCTGGTCCACTGCCCAAAGACCACCTCGGTGACATGGCTGGAAAGGCTGAGTGGAGAAATGGGTCCACTCTGAGATGCTGAATTTGCTCATGCCCACCATGAGATACTGAATTCGCTCATGCTCTGCTTCTCCATGGCCTTCTGGAGTTGAAGGCAAGGTATCCTCTTATCATGGGTCTGCCCACAGGCACAGACTGGTTCCTAACTGACAGTGCAGCAAAGACTATCCCTCCCAGAAGTAGGCTCCTGGCAAAGTCCCAGCAGGGAAGGCAAGTTTCCTTACAGAAAACCACCAGCAACTTTCTGCCAGTAACGTTCAGACACAGTTATGATTCACAGACACCGTGGAGAAGCACATAAAACTCACCCCTCTCACTGCTATTTGCTCCTGACATTTCCCCTGCCTCCCTTGGGTGTCTCTCATGCCCCCACTAATCTCACGATGGTCAGAATTACTGTTTGGACAGTGACTCAATGTGAATCTCGACTCAGCAGAGTACCAAGGAAAAGAGAAGCCCTATGGGATCAAATCCTTCTTTGTTTATGGGCTTTGCTGCCCATAATTCATTTTCTGCATTCTGTTGTGGCATGTGCTGACATAAAATTAATCCAAAGTCTCTGGCTGTTCCAGGGACTGCTCATGGTCCCTCATCCAGCTCAAATCTGTGCAACGTCTTCAACCTCCAGAGGAAACAATGGAAGCATCTCTGTGCTTGGCATTGGTGAAATATCAGGCTATTCATTCTTTTGCTTAAATTAGGAATCTAATTTCAACTATTTTCCTCTGGACAGGATGAAAAAAAGAAGACAAAAAGCAATATACCTCTACTTCACATGCATATTCTGATCCATCCAGGAGTGTCACTTTGCACTGCATACTTTTCGGTTTCTTGACGATCTTTAGAGGAGACTTCGAAAGTTTGCTAGACGATGATTTTTGAGAGAGCTTGTCGTCCTCTAGCTGCTGGTATTCCAGCTGTTTTGCACTTGCAGCAGCAAACTCCTGTTCTTTGTCTGTGGCCTATAAAGAGAAAGAAAGATACTTTTTGAAGTGAGAGAAACTAATCACGCCATGCAGTACACTATGCACCCTGCACCCAGGCATTTAAGTGAGCCTAGTATGGGGCTTGGATGAGAAAGCCCCAATGCAGGGGGCTTTACCTATTGAAAAGATTTCTCATATTGTCCATATTACTCCCAGCCCTCCCTTCTCCCTCCAAAAGGTACAGAATACCTGTGGAGGAGGGGCATGCATGAAAATACTTTAGGCTTCTATTTTTTCCATAGGTACAAAATCCCTCTTGGACCTGTTTTTTTGGTCTGTTGGAAGTGCTGAATAATTGGTAAATGTTTTGATGAACAGATATTCCTACTGCTTGTTGATATTACTTTTAAGTCCTATTAAATCGTATGATGCTTCCATGGTGTCATACGGAACCGGAAAAGACCATCAGGTTTGCACTAATTTTGCTGTCAGTGAGAAACAGTCCCCTGAATGAGGGCACGGATCCCCTCGTGACAGTGTGAATTTGCAGGGGGATGCTGACGTGCCTGGGAGAGCAAAAGGCTCCCCAAGCGCCCGAGCAAAGGGTTAAACACACAGGATGGAAGCGCGGGGCCAAACAACTTTTATGTGCAGCCGGCTGGCTAATGGATGATAAGTACAGGATGAGAGGCTGAAATTTGCTCTCTGCAGATGCCCGATAAGTCCCTCAAGCTGGCGACAAGTAGGTGCTATTTGAAAGACAAATATACTGCAGGGAAAAGGGGCAAGAAGAAACAACCGTGGTTACTTTTCCTTGGGTTCATCTGAGGGTCAGACCGTTTGAAGAGTTACCGTGATGCAGCACAGCCTGTGGTCCTCTCCACGGCACTAGATGAAAGCCAGAACAGCTCTACAGCATTTCACCCTTCCTAGCAACAGCACTGTACCGCAGTCGTTACCTTTCTCATCAGTTATGCTCCTGATAGTCTCCAAACAAAACCTCAACAGGAGTGCAGTAATACCTAAGCTAAAGCTTAAATAATACAAAATGAAAGTAACATCTTTCCGTTATCTCACTACAAGGGAAAAAAAACCCTGTTTTGTCTCTGAATGATTTCAGTGTAATAAGCAACAAGCATCGCTGGAAATAGATTGTAAAGTAATCCTCCAAGTCTGTTTCCATTCATTGTATATAATAAAACTTCACGAGAATGGAGCAAATCCATCCAAAGGCTTTAATCTGCTGTGAGACCAGAACAACCTTGCATCGTATAACCAGCAACAACAGTGTACTGCTAAATCACAGGGAACTTTCCCCGAGAGATTTCATACAAACAAGCCATAAGCTTCCCCTCTGCCTTGGGATGAATGGGGGAAAGAGGAATTTGGAGTCGTCTGTGCTACTGACAGCGCCAGCTTGCACCAAAGCCTCAGCAAACTGCAAAGAGGCAACTGCAAAGAGATGAGGCAAGACCCCACGCTCCTCCTTGCCCTGAAAGAGAGGACATAGCAATGGTCTCCTGGGCTTCCCTGGGTGGGGAGACTAGAAGAAAGTGGGACTAGAAAGATAAAAAAGCAAGAGCTGCTTTCAAAATCCACATCACTCCCTGAGCCGTGGATGTTCTTCCCCAGGAGCAGCCCAGTGCCAGCCGGCTCTTCCCCCATCCAGCTCCAGCACTGGAGGACTTTCTCCTTCCAGCACTTGGACACCTGCGCTGTGTCTGGTCGTCAAGGTCCTTGCATACCTTGAAGGCTGGTGGGAGATGAAGGGCACAACGTATGTCAGCGGATAAGCTGTTCGCTAAGCATTTAACGCTCACAGTGGCTGTGACAAAGGGGGAGAGTCCCCCCAGGGTCAGAGCAAGGCTTGAGGCCAGCTACCCCTCTACCACAACCGCGGCCAGCTGGCAAGTGGTCCACCCTACTGCACCGAGAGAAAAACAAGACTGAAGATGTCTCCTCCTGGGGCCTCTGTGAACAGCTGTGCTGCTGATGATGGGCAGAGGGGCTCTTTGATGATTTCCGTACGTTTTGTTAAAGAAATCTGCCATGGAAGGTGCACATGCACATGTGTAGGTGAAAAAGCGGTAGAAATATACTGTCATCGCCAGTGGCTCATTAGTTTCACATGTGAGAGTTAACACTCCGCCCCAACAAAAAACAACCAACAAAAAAACCAGATGCATGGAAATAATCTTTTAAAAGAAAACAGGAAAGCTGCTTGAGAGAAAAGCCCACAACAAGGGCACCCGGCAACCATTTAAATTTTAGAAGCATCTTCAGCCTACAAACAAATTCTATGAATCCTTATGGATTAGTGATTATTTTCCTTCACACAAAGACACTCGGTAACTCAAGACTACAGCAGAAATTTGCTTATTTATAATTTTTTTTTAAATGGTGTTGAGGTTATTTTGTTTGTTAAGGTTCCTGTCTACACTAAGATCAGGGGAATGTGTCTAGGTTAAAATCATACAAAGGATTTTCTCTCATTTGTCTAGAGAACAAAACATGCCAAGAACTATTAGAGAAGATCCCCCAAACTATGCTGACATGTTCAGGCATTGAGGTACTTTCAGACTGTATTAAGCCTCTTCTTCCTAAAGAAACCCGACATTCTGGTATGTAGGGGGAAAAAATAAAAGTGGCCAGTGAAAAACCCATGTACTCAGTGAATTATTTTGAACTCTGCAAGCATAGTTGCATCTTCTCCTAAATTCTTCCCCAAGATACCTCAGTGCTCTATTTTTGCAGTATTTTCAGTGTCGTGGTCTAAATTCCAGTGCAGCACAAGTTGCTTCAGGGTTTGTGTTTTTTGATCATAAGCTCTCTCATCTCTATCTATATTACTGTACCTTACTATGACACGGTATGTTCAACCCCTTCTGAAGCTGGACCCCCTTCTCGAAGCAAGCCTTTGGAGTCACAGGATTCAGCAATAATGATCTTTGACGCTTCGCAGCGTCTCACTGGGGTATGAAGTGATATTACCAAGCTTGCACCACGCATGAATCCCATCTACTTATGATAGTTGCTCAGAAATGTCAGTGCCCAACCCGTGCAACGCCTTCTTGCTCATTTTCAATGAGATAGGAAGGCAGGAAGATAGTAAGATTGCATTATTATACCTGATAGAAACGACTCATTTCTGTAGCAACTGCTAATCTCAACATGAAGCCTTTTTGTCTTCATTAAAATGTTCTTTTTATGTGTATAGAATGACAACAAAAAGTCACTGTAATGGATCGGCAACTCAAATCTTTCTTCCCAAGGTTCTCTCATACGAGCGATAGCAAAAATCATCAACTTCCTCACTGTGATTACAGACGGTGAGAAAATGATACCCCTTACTCCTTCAATTTTCGGCTTTTTTAATGACACCATTGCCAATAGCTCTGTCTCTTAGTGCTGCGTTTAAGTGGTTCTTTCCTGTGATACAGGCACTTAAGCCACTACGAAATATCCTGGGCAGATCACTGCAGCTGGATTTGGCAGTCAGCTTATAACAGAGACTTTTGGATTCAACCTGATAATCTCAATGGGAAGGTCTCACATGTCCCTTCACTAACCCCGTTCTTCTATTAAGGCTTCTACGGACACTGGCTCACAGCTGACCTTTGGGAAAAGAAGGGATCACACAGCACACAAGAGCATCTCAGGTCTCCAGACTCACACCTCTGTAAACACAGATGGACAGGTTTGGTACCTAAGTTTTTTTCTTTTCTTGTGGTTATTTTGGGGTTTGTTTTGTTTTGTTTTTTTTAAGATGAAAAGAAACTTGGGGTGGAAAGATTACTGAAGATGTCTGGAAGAACAAATTTAATAATACTTATGCCTAGGCCTGACAGAATTACACTTTAAATTAATCACCAGTTTGTGCAGCACCTTTCTCTTTTGGACAAGCAGTCCTGCCTCTTTTCCCCAAACTAACCACATCAATTTCTGATCTATTTCAGAGACCAAAATTATCCCAACACATAATTGGTGGATGTTGGAGCAAGAGCAGAGGGGTCTTTGGTGGGCACGGAGTGACACTGATCAAGGGTTATCAATGGTAAAAACGGTTAGCAATCAAAAAAAAAAAGCAGTTCTTCCAATGGTTGATCTTCAATAGCAATAAACACCAGAAATCCTGCCCTGCCATGTCTACCTCTTGAGGTATTAGAAGTCAGACACAGACGCCTCTTTTTATTTGGTCCCAGAAACATTTGCTGTCCCAAGCATTTAGGTAATGCACCCCTAAATGAGGGAGATACAAAAATACTTTGTATCTGAAATTGCTTATACCCCCATTTTTTCCTCACCAACAGCAAGTTTGGGCTGTAGCTCTGTGGACAAAAGCTTAAAACCCAAGACCACAGCCAGCCCCGAACAGCTTCCACAAGAGCACTTGAGCTAATTTTAAGTAACGCCTTACATCTGCTTGCTTCACCAGCACTGTCTCCCAACTAGGTAAAGTAACGGGACCCCACTTCAAACAATCTGAAGTTTTTAAAGGGTGGAGGAGTGGAGGAGTTAGACTGACTTATTCACTCTTCAAAGGTGAATGTGATCAGATGGGGGTCATAACCTTACGGATTCTAAGGGATGCAATTTGCAGGTACCTCATTAATTGTGTGTCACTTACCCATGAAGAACAATGCCTGTTAATCCTACTGACGGGAACTTATTAACGGGAAAAGAAAGCAGGCTGTACAAATTTAATAAGTGCAACAATGAACCAAATGGAAAAGCATGTGATAGCTCTTCTGAAACCTATTACATGAAAAGTTAAAGTAATTATAACGCAGCCGTTTCAGAACTACAAGAAGCTTAAAGGACCACAGATTCTTTGTGGCTCACACATCAGACAAGCAAGCATGAAATCATTTTTCAGCAGGTGTCAAAGAAGAAATGAACTCTGAAAACATTTTCAGCTTCTTAAAAATTGGCACTGTTTGCTATCTAATGCAGATGCAAGATTGAAGATGTTTCCTGCTTAGTTAATAAGACTGCTCTTACATTTAAGCACCGGAGGCAGAAAGACCTGACATGAATTTCAAAACATTCTGCGTGAGAACTATTATTTTTTAAATGCAGAAGACCAACAAGATCTACAGCATCACACCAAGCAGCCTTACATGCATATCTGAATATGTTTCCTCTCATAATACACCAGGCTCATTATTTCCCAGGAGGTAGGTGCACGCAGCGAGCATGCGCGCACGGGCTCCCTTACCTGCTCCTTTTTCACCGGCGTGCTGTGGGCTGCCACAGCCGAGAACTGCTCAAGCGCGTTTTGATGCTCTTCACTCAGCTGCTGCTGGTCCTGCGGCTGGGTCTCCACCGCCCCTTGCTGTGCGGGGCTCTCCTGCTGATCCTGCTCTTTATCCTTGGACTCGGAGTCCGATCCTGATTCTGTAGTCATGGTTGGTTATTCTGTAAAACAAGGTGAGCAGATCTACTGAGTACGATCTTGTAGCCGCAAATTTGTAGGCTAGGCTTACAGAATGGAGAAACGTCAGGTGCAAAGTTTTAGTCTTAATATGCCCGGCCTTTAAAACTAAAGTGGCTATTACTGGCCCAACAAAGATCCCTAGGAAAGCTTCCCTGGTGCAAAAGACAAGGTCTAAATGCATCTGTACTCTTGAGGAAGTTGCCATAAAATCTTACTCTACATTATAATACATGGACATTATAGGAATTACGTTGAAGTACATACAGACATACAGTTCTACATAGTTCATAATTCATAAAAGGAGAGTAACACATTGAGGAAAGCTCGTGTGATTGAGGGCCCTAAGTCCAACACAATTCCCTGCAGTTTGGGTTTCTAAACCATGTGGAAATTTTTAAAAACATTAAATCTTTTGTTCTTTACATTTAAGGCAAGTTGAGGGCTTGAACTCCTCAACACCTGCACTCCCCCTTTTGGAATGGACTCAAGTACTTTCGATGCTTCCAAGCAACATATACGCTAGAAGCATCTGAAGTGGGCCCACCAACATCAGTGCAAAAGTACAACTGCCCTTAAGCACAGTTCTGTCCTTCCCACTTGAATTCACCCACACTTCTGTCATTTCTTTCTAAGTGCTGGAGCATCCAAAAGAAAAGATAAATACTTCCATTAAGTCATTCTAAGTGTTACATTTGAAATAAAGTGAATATGACTTTCCTTGAATGTGAAAAGGCTGTTTGAACTTAACTTTGTCCAGTACTAAATGATTACAAGTATGTGGTTGGCACCCAATTCTCAAACTATATAGAAGCAAAACCCAACTTTAAAAAATACTCTGATTTTGTATCAAAACAAGGATTTGAAAAAGCAGACTCTGTGCCAGTTCAGCAAACAGAGTTTGCTCTTATGTTTGTTACTCATACGCTCTTAGTCCTCCTGGTCTCATCCTTGAGCATTTTGCTTTTAAGCAACTCAAAACCAAACCAGTCTGCTGCAATCTATTTCTATTCATCATCAGGCCACGATTTCTTTAACCTGGTAACCATAGCTACTATGTAATTATAAGCAGTTCCACAGAATATACATCTGCTAATTCATCTGCTAGGAAGTCACTATCAACTCTTAACATACACGACAATGTTTACTAGTAGAAACAGGTTTATTAAAGGTCACAAAAAAAGTACAGGCCTCTTCTTTCTTTTTAACTTAAATGTTTAATAAGCTACATTGCTTGACAGAAAATGTTTTAAATGAGGCCAGTTACTATTTTCAGAGTCATTTATGTATTCTGCACTTTCAAGGCTAAGTCCTCCAGTGAATACATGTCTCTGAGTAAGTGTCCAGCATTCAGCTTGCGCTCAGTTTTTGCACTGCGTTTGAGGACGGGGGTGCATGTTCCTACCTCCTGCGTGCCAAAACAGCACGAGAGAGAAGGAGAACTAGAAAGCATATACGGCAGATTTATGCTTCAGGCCACATTTTCAAAGTACTAACGCATGACATACTTGTTCAGGAATACATCATAAATTTCTACAGTCAAACTGGCACAGTTATATCAAAAATACCTTTTAAAATCTATTGCTTAACAAATTGTCTTTAGCATCTACAAAAAGCAATAATTAACTTATGTCTTTTAAAATGTGACAGTCAGAAAGGCGTTCATTTAATCAAACTTCAGATGTGGACGTTTGAGATGGTCACTTTAAACGTGGAAGAGAAAATCAGATGTTTCAGAGAGCGATTCATCTGACCTATTTTAGATGCCTGCTTTAGGCTGAGATAAATCACATACTAGAGCGACTTCGTCTGACTTGCTACAAAGGAAGCCTAAACAAGTTCCTCCAATGTAGATCAAACAAACCCATCCTCCATTTTCAATTCTATGAAGCCACTCTTTTTTGTACGCTTTAAAAATTAAATTGCATAACAATGTTAATCTCTCAAGAGTTTTGTTTTGCCCATCTGTCAGATCAACATGGAATAAAATACTCTTCATCTGATGCTATTACGGTTCCCTTGCTTTAAAAGCACCCAGGTCTCCACAAACTTCACAAGTTTTTCCCTGCACTCTCAAACCATGTTTTGTACAAGTGTATGAAGATAAGAAATGCAAATTAATCAAATACTTAATTCAATAAAAATCAAACTATGTATTTGATTTTCTTTTCCAGAAACTATGAACTAGGAAGTAACAAAACCCTAACTTACAGCTACAAAAATCATCGATCAAACAACGCCGAACAGCATAGATGACCAACACAAAGTGTAATGCATGGAAGTTGTAGTACAAAGTCTTTTTTTTTTCCCCCTCTTCGTATGAGTTAGAGCAGTGTAAATAGAAAGCAACTATCATACTTGCTGTTTGGAAACAGTTACTCCAAGGATCTTGAGGCATTAACCGATATAGGATCAGATTGCCAGTTGATATGAATCAAATGTCTTCCTTCACCTGCCACCACTGTGTCTCTGGAAGCTCATTTTTGTACCCTATACAGCTTCTTTCCTAACGAACATTTCTATCCTGGCTGTTGGTGAGCATGGAAAGGCAGCCGTTTAAATTAGCCCCGTAAAACACAACTTCATGTAGTATGAGATGAAAACAAGTTTTACTTTTCTTGCCAGTTATAATTTTGCATCTCAAGGAACAACAAATGTGGTTCTTCACTTCTTCTGGGACATTCCCGCATGAAGCAGAGCCTTACAATACTGTGAGTTACTCTCTGGGACTGGTTTTCTCTCCAGTTACACGTGAGTCCTCGCTTGCTCTAAGAGTGCTTTGTTAGAAAACTTTTTGTGCGTTATTGAATCTTTTAGCATAAGCGAATCCCTGGATACAATATTACTGTCATTAGTCAGACAGCAGATGGATTTAATTAACCCAAGGTTACCCATTTCCAAATGTCTTCTTTATTTCCCTACGCATACTAATATGTTTAATAACAAATACTGAGAACAAAATACTATTGATTTCACGCTGTTACCGTACAGACATAAATAGGAGCAAAGCAAACACATTTTGAATCCAATTTCTTACAAGCTCCTCCGACGACTGTATTGTTAAGATTTATCTCATTCCATCTAGTGCAGGTTGAAAATACCTAAATTACAAGACAGAAAACAACTCTCTCAGTGCAAACCAATAGGTTGTTTTGCCTTCCTCAGCAAACAGCTGCTTATCCAAAAAGAACTTTGAAGGCATTTCATTTTTTGTAAATGACACAACAATCCTCCTAGAAGAGGTAGTTTCACTATGGAAGAAATAACAGCAATCTTAAGAAATCTAATGACATGAATATTACTCTACTTTTGTTTGTACGCAGCAAACCTGACAGAATAGGCAGTAGCATCTACACATCTGTCAAACACACAAAATTGGCTAAGAATTTCTTTTTCTTATTTTATTAGTTTATTTACTATACCTGGCTATGTATCAAAACTAATGTGAATTTCAGTACAGGAAGAAAGAAATCACTGAAGTTCCTTAAACTTTTTCTGTTGCCAGCACAACCCCCGTATCAAATTCCCCTTTCCAGCAAACAGAAAACAAACTAACGAAAGGAAACTAAGAGCACTACCTTATACAAATGAGGTAATACTATGCAAGCCAGATGTGCTCTTGGATAGCTCAGTTTTGGCTTACAACCGAATATTCAAAGATTCCAAAAGATTAGCTGAGTCCAAACTTAACACAGATGCTGCTAATACTGGATAGTCTAAGGCTAAAGTCAATTGGGCTACAGAATTCAACCAGAATGAAAATCAAGTCTTTTGATTAAAGGGGGGGGGGGGAAGCCAAGAACTAGCTTATTTTAATCTATTACTAAAAAAATAAGTTAAAAATGTATGTACTTTCAGCAGTATAAAGGTTTAAAATGTAAGTGTTTAAGAGTGCTGCAGAAGAATAATTAAGGGAAGATAAACATTAATATACTATCAAGGTATTAAAACACAACTTCAAAAAACTACGTAACATATTTAAAAATAATTTTTATTAGATCAAATCACAGAAAAGAAATCTTTTCATACCCTTACACTGTACAAAGTAAAGACATTACATACGGATTGCAAAACCTGCAAACCACTTGCGCAAAGCCTACATCCTAAAACCTTCCAACACACCTTGTCCTTGTTACCTACAGCTACCAACATATTGCAGCTTGGGAGATTACCATTTCCATTACCAGTTACTTGCTATGGACTTAAAGCATGTAAATTCCTTTTCTCCACACGGGAACCAAAATCTTATTGTCCTCTGTTAATAATTCTCTGAGCAGGCAAAGCCCAGACTGTGTCACCTGGTCCCCTCCAGCAAGTGACAGTATCACAATCTACTGTATATATTCATACATTCAACAAGTTATTTGACTCCTTGCCTCCTGTTCTCAGAGCACAGACCTTCTGGGTTGCATCTACTGAGCAACAAAATTTACAGCTAATTGACAGCAGAGTCCACAGTTTAATTAACCCAGCAGTCATTAACAAACCTTTATTTATATATAAATACATGCTAGTGAAAATATCTGCTGTATTAAGCAAATGGAAATCACATTACAGAAGAATTAATTCCAAATAAATTGTGTTGTAATGACAAAACAAAATTGAACAAAGTAGAATTAAATGAACTATACATAGCCACTAACTATCTCCTGTAATGCACAGATTAATGATTTACATTTAAATGTTTCTTTGATCTAATTAATTCCCTTTGTGGAAAGTTCTCCTTTAATTACAATAATTTCTGAAGATTGTTATAAATCATTGCAAAGGTCCAAATTTGGAAGTTATGTAACAAAATAATGATTCCATACTTCAAAAATAATGTTGCACATAACGAGGGACATATTTATCCAATAACGATGAGATGCTGATGAGAAGAGCATATGGAGAGCAATACTGCCACTATGAGCAGTAACAGAAATGTCAATGTACGTTTCAAGAAAAGAATACATGCCAGAATGCCGACTTCTAAGATCGAAATAGA